GGGGGGGGAAGTGGGGAAGGAGAAGGGGGAACGAACTTGGTTTCGGCAGAGTACCCTTACTTACGTTTGCCAAAAATATCTACATGGCTCTTGAACGGCCAGTCCTTGAATTGCCACTCTTTCCCGAGTACAAAGACGCACACCACTCTCTCCCAATCCGCCGGCTTGAGCAACGCAGGCTTGTCCACCACTTGATATGGGACCGGCTTCGTCCTTCCGAGCTTCCTGTTAATCATAATGGACTCTGGTTTCTTTGCCATGGTCTTCATCTTCTCCTCCTTGGGGACGTAAATGCCATCCTCCAGAAAATCTTTTGCATTGTATGTCATCAAGATGGTCGCAAAAGCGCTCGGGACAATGATAACGGGGGGGCCAGAGGCTTTGGAGGGCTTGCGCAGAGCGAGCGCGTGTCTGCCTGACAGGCTGGGGTGTCTGGAACCGGGCGGCTGGGGGGGATGGCCACCATGATGGTGATGATGGTGATGATGACGGTGCCTGGCATCATCCGCCCCAGCGCCAGCGGAAGGTGCTGCAGATCCCGACGCAGTGCGTGCGGCGCCAGTAGCAGCAGCAGCAGCGCTGGGACCACCACCTGGCGGCGCGGGTAACGACAACGTGCCGGCGGCGGCGGCGGCGGCGGCGGCGGCGGAAGCCGACCTGGTGTTGGAGGCCGTTGCGCCGCCGCCGCCGGGCGCTCCCGCTCCCGCCGCGCTCGTCTGCGGAGGCCCGGGGAGTCCCGGCAGCGCAACCGCTGTCCTGTCCCCCAAGAACGAGCTCGTGGGATCGATCCCTAGCTTCTCCGCGTCGTCCGTCTCGAAGTAGCCCTTCCAGAAGTTGCGCTCCTCCGCGTACAATCTGCTGCTCTGCGCCTGCGCGGAGGTCGCAAGCGCCGCCGCCACGCCTCCGAGCGCTCCCCCCGCGCCTTTCTTCTCCTCGCCCCCGCCCCTACTCTCTTCTCTCTTCTTCTCCTCCACCCTCCGCGCCGACAACAACCCTAAGATCCCCTCAAAGGTCCGCTTGGTACACAAAAGGATGCTCTCTCGATCCCGCACGGGTCTCTCCCTCTCTAGAATCCTCTTCACGATGCCATCGGGATCCAGACCCACGTGGCCCAGATTACCATGATGATACAGCGTCTCGATCCCGTCCCGGCCAACCAGATCCGCCGCACCCCTCTCTCTCTCCCGGTCTAACTCCAACAACCCACCATTTGCGATCATCATGATACTCCCGACGCCATTCCCGCCGGCTTTGACTACCAGAGCTCCCGCGGACGCAGCAGCATCAACCCTAGCCTTCTTTGCCGCGCCACCCAACTCCTCCCCTCCCAAAATCCCCTCCTCCTCTTCCTCCCTCCTCTTTCCCCCCACTCCTCCTCCTCCTCCTCCTCCTCCTCCTCCTCCTCCTCCTCCTCCGCCCCAATCCTCCCCTCCGCCCCTCACACCCGGCGGATGACCAT